TCATTAACGTCACCTCAACCATCATCACCATCACTAACATTACCTCAACAACATCACCATCACTAACGTCACCTCAACAACCATCACCGTCACTAACGTTACCTCAACAATCATCACCATCACTAGCGTCACCTCAACAACCATCATCACTAACGTCACCTCAACAACCATCACCATCACTAACGTCACCTCAACAATCATCACCATCACTAACGTCACGTCAACAATCATCACCATCACTAACGTCACCTCAGCAACCACCATCACTAACATCACCTCAACAACATCACCATCACTAACGTTACCTCAACAATCATCACTAACATTACCTCAACAACATTACCAACACTAACATCGCCTCAACCGTCATCACCATCACTAACATCACCTCAACCATCATCACCACTGCTAACATCACCTCAATCATGATCACCATCACTAATATTAGCTCAGCAACCATCACTAACGTCACCACAATCATCATCACCATCACTAACGTCACCTCAACAATCATCACCATCACTAACGTCACCTCAACCATCACTAACATCACCTCAAACATCATCACCATCACTAACATTACCTCAACAACATCACCATCACTAACGTCACTTCAACCATCATCACTAACATCACCTCAACCATCATGACCATCACTAACGTCACCTCAACCATCATCACCATCACTAACATCACCTCAACAATAATCACCATCGCTAACGTCACCTCAACACCATCACCATCCTTTCACACCATCACCGTCATAAATAACATTAACTTCATAATCGTCACCACAATTACCACCTTCGTTGTTAACACCGCAACCTCCACCATCATCACCACCATCCTCACCAACGTCACCACCACCATCATCACCATTACCACCATCAACACCAACGTTATCTCTCTCCACCATCACCATCCTCAATAATATTAACCTCCACCGCCGTCATCACCATCACCACCATCCTCACTAACGTCATCCCCCACCATCAGCTACACGATGGTTATCCGTGTCATCATCATCATCATCCCGGCCTGGTAATTCTCGTCAGAATCGTCATTGTTTTTACCACCACCACCATCATCACCATCATCGCCATCACAGAACCATTCCAACTCGGCCCAGACACCAACACAAATCGCCGTGTGATGAGCGTTCATCTTTAATGAATTGCTGTGTACTTTTATACAGTACGCAAAATACATTGTTATCACTGCCCTACAGCACTACTGTGATGACATGCAGTACACGCTGCATGTCATCAACCCAACGTAGGAACGTTGGGTTACTCGGTCAGTGGCCAGGGTCAACGGCGGCATCACGTGGTGTATTCCGCAAATATGCCCGACTGTGAGGGCGGGCACAAGCCGGCGTGAGTAGGTTAAACGTTGAGTTTTATAAGGGCACCACGGGGTGACCAGCCCCTCCCCACCCAGCCCCACCCCTCCCATCCCCCCACCCAGCCCCACCCTCCCCACCCAGCCCCTCCCCACCCTCCCTACCCAGCCCCTCCCCAACCAGCCCCTCCCCACCCTCTCCTCTCCACCCAGCCCCACCCCTCCCATTTTTGGATGCAGGACGGACGGACACAATAATTCCCTGTGGGCTGGTGTAAGCTGGAGGTTCCTTCCAGTATAACCACGACGGCACTATCATAGTAGACGTTATACGCTAGCACCATGACAGTAATGTAGTGATGTGTGTATACTATACTTTAGACAGTCTCACTATTTCAGTATTGTGGTGTAATAATATAATAGCCGTCAACCCCCTTATCAGTGCCCTACCTTATCACAGACCAACTCAGACCTCATTGGTCACTCCCGTGCCCCTTATAAATCTCAACGTTCGTCCTACAAAGTCCCATCACAAGGGAGAAACACAAACAATTATTTTTGTGCCCGTGTAGTGGGTAAATAACTAGGAGAGTTCTCTGAGGCAACACGTTTTTATTTAACAACTAGCGGTAAGTACCCGGCATTGCCCGGGCGAAAAAGGCAGACACACACATGGACTTGCACACAGACATCGACCCACACACATAGAAACACATCGACTTACACGCACACACACACATGGACTCACACAGACATCGACTTTAGACACACACACATGGAGTTACACACATATCGACTCGCACACATACATTGACTCACACACACATCGACTACATGGACTTACACACACACATGGATCGACGCGCGCACACACAAAGGGGTAACGGCCCCTTACACCCGATATGCTCAGGAGGTAGCCCCTCCGGACTAATACGCCTCTTACTGGCTAACGTACACCTCTCACGAGTGCAACTTGCATCTTCACTTGTATAAGCTTGAGCCGACCCTAACAGGGGTACGGCTCTGCCCTTTGGGCTCTTCTCTTCAGGAGGCTTCTTCAATCTTCAGGTGAGCGACGACTGCCGGGACCGTTCAGAGGTCCGGCTTTCATACAGAGCCGTGGCTTACTACGCCCCGGCCACACCTTCCATCTCGAACCTTCCAGCAGGACCTGGGGGTGATGTCATCCCCCAGCCCCCTCCTGGGATCTGGGGTCTCTACCTCTGGTCATGCTCTGGTCATGCCGTTCCATAGGGGTTATCGTTGGGCCCTGTGGGCCATAGACCCTTAACACTGGGGCTCAGGCCCTTTTCTGCCCCCTATTGGCACGTGTCCGATACCACCGTTTAACAGCATGGGAGATGTACAATAATACCTCTACACCCGTATAGAAACGGCTGTACGCCGTATGGACCTGAAAACTAAATTTCCCTGTACAAGCATACGGGGCAAACCTTACGGGTTGACAGGTATGCCACAGTACTGCAGTGCTATTGCAGTACTTGAGAAGTCCTGTAATAGTACTGGCATACATTGATACAATGTAACGTGTTCGATACAGTAATGCCCAGTACTTTTTGTATGCAAATAATTGTATTCTGTGTACAGTATTGCATGCGTACAAATACAAAGGTCCCTCATTTATCCTTCAGCAGACTGTTGGGGCAAGTGCTGTTAAGCGAGTAGCAGCCCCTATGAAGGCCGGCACAGTGGCACACGAGGGTGGTAGGTGCGTGCCCAGCACCACGCCCGCCCGGCCTTCTTTGTCTCCCGAGTGTGCAAAATGTACACACACCGCAAAGCACCAGGGTTTTTCTCATTTGAGGCCGAGTCGACCTAGGGGAGCGAACGACAGCACCAGCTCACTGAACGGGTGAGCAAAAGGGCAGCGGAAGAACCTTCCCGTCGGAATTCCTCGCTCGTGCCGGGCGTGCGCAAGCGGAACAGCGCACGGAGTGCACAGTGAAAGCGAGGTAAGGAACGCAAACCCACAACGTCGTGGGGAAACTCGCCGGTATAATAATAATCGTGACAGTTGCATACCTGTCAACCCCCTTATCAGTGGCCTACCTTATTAAAGACCAATTTAGACCTCATTGGTCACCCCGTGCCCATTATAAATCTCAACGTTCGTCCTACAAAGTCCCATCCCAAGGGAGGAACAAAAATAGACATTTTTCATTTATTTTTGTTCCCGTATTGAAACGGCTGTATGCCGTATGGACCTGAAAACTCAATTTCCCTGGATAAGAATAATGGGGTAACACGTATGGGTTGACAGCTATGCGATTGGCGTTGTATTGCAGCGTTAGCAATTGGAGAAGGTGGTGATGGGGGGGAGACTTGGAGTGGAACCTGAGCTCTCGCTTCTCCCCTTCTGGTATAATAAACCCCCCCAAAGCTGAGGTCTTCCTCTTCACGTCCGCCGTGGGATTGCAGGGCCACGTTGGCGCGACACCTCGTCGTTTTGAAAGACCCAATGTAGAAGGTCCCTGGGGTTTTATCTTCCACGAAGCTGCTCATGGGCCACCCTAAATCGTAGCCTGTGCACAAACCATGGCAGCAGATGGGGATACCTGATGCACAAGTGGAAATGTAAAAACTCTCCAGATCGTACACCGTGTAACGGACCCAATGCGCCGATCCACAAATACGAAGGAGACATCACAGCGACGATACACTCCGCTGCTCCTGGTAACGCGGTCTGCCTTGGCCACCCGAATGTGAAATAATAGTTGTTGCTCTGCATCTACATCAGCCGTATGACAAAAAGAAGATTGGTGCGACACGTAGGAGGACACGTGGGAGGACACACAGGTCACGCGGGAGAACATGCGATGGGACGCGCAGGAGGACACGCGTGTCACACGGGACACTCGATACACGCATCGCTTCACTGCCGCCACCTGTCCTCCACGCAGGGCGCCATTGTCTCCCCCCCAGTTCCAATGTTTACACCCTCAAACGCTGAGCTCGATTAAGGCTGAGTCAACCTAGGGGCGACCCTTGACAGTTCTTTTCTCACTAGATGCTCTGAACTCTTGTTCGACAGCCCGTGGCCTACAGCCCTGGTGTGTAGCTGCAAGGTAAGGGCCGTGTTTCTGAGTCACGTCTTCAGGTAGCCAACGTGCGCTCCCTGTCGCAGGTGGAACTCGGAGCACAGTCAGCTGGCAGCCACCGGGGTGGGTGGCCTCCCAAGTGTCCGGTCCGTCCGTTCACAAGACCGGGTGAATACGCAGTAGCGTGTGCGCTGTTGCACGCTTGGCCACGTGCGGTGCATACTGGTTGTGCACCGCGCATGTGTACTGCACCTGTAGATTGTGTGTACTGCGCGTGTACTGCGTACGTGTACTCTGCGTGCATGCGTACTGCGCGTGTTACTATCCACACCGACGCTCGCGTGCTGTGTGTTTTGTCCGTTGATTCTCAACCCCAGGGATGACGAAGGTGGCGACGCCGTTCTCTTAGATTTCGTCGTCGCGCCCCTCTCCCTGCTGGGATGAGTGACGCCGAGCTCCGGGCCAAGAGCGGCGGCCCCACACCGATGTCGAGCTCGGGTCGCGAGGAGCGCATAAATAATAATGATGCTTTCAGCTGTGTAAACGCGACGACCCTGTTGGGTGGTGGAGGGGTCAGACAATGCGTTTTTATTAATGGACATGAACCACAACAACAATAAACGTAAAGTACCACGAACATTCCCCAAATGTCAAAGCACTCGATTTCTTAACACCGATGCACCCTGGCGTTAACGATCAATCACCAGCACCACCCACTCAGTGCCCCCCCCCTGCTCAGACGCATTTGCATAGCCACACCCACTTTTTACATCGTCACACCCACCCAGCCACTAGCCCCGTTCAGCTAGCGCTCCATTTGCCATGTCTTAACATCAGCCTCACCCACTGCTCCGGTAGCACTGCCTATGTAAAGAGTTGAGGACGAACCCACAAGATGTTACACCCAGCGCTAAACTCCACATTCTCACAAAAGCAACAGGCGGTGGGGAGAAGGCATGCGGGTGGATACGGGACACTGCCATTACGAACCCGCCGACCAAACTTGGACATTTGTTCGGTTGCCTTGAGCAGGCATCACCATCATTGCGACCAACGCCACCTTCAACCATTGTCACCATCGCCACGGCGAGCGGGTCAGCAGGCGTGCACCAGCGGGGCTCCCAGCGGACCCCCTTCCTCTGCGACCCCGCACCCCTCGTCCCCGCGCCCCCCGGGCCCTAGCGCGCCGACCACGCGGTGCCAGAAGAGCTTGCAGGCGCTCTCCGACCCCGCGGGGGCCACCGTGCGGCCCCGCCGGCCCCGCCGGGCGAACAAGTCTTCCCGGGCGCCGGGCCAGGTGATGTAGGTGCGCGAGCGGATGGTGCGGCGCATGCGGAAGTAGGCGGACAGCTCGTTGTGAGGGATGTGCTCGAGGAAGAGGAGCACGAGGACGTCCTGGTTCTCCTCGAGACGGAACGCCGCCACCTGCACGAGAGGCAGCGTCACTCCAGTGGGAAACAGAGCAGCAATCGTCACCCCAGCTGCCACTGGGGACCCGCTAGGCTCGACCACACAGCGACCCCCTCCCCCACTGACAAATGCCCGCCAGCAGACCAGGTTACAGCTGCCACTGGGGAACCCCCTAAGCTAGACTTATGGCAATCATCGCTACCGCCCCCACTGACAGTAGACTAATGCCCGCTCGCATCCGGGTGCTGAGTCGCACTGCACCGCACAGGGACAGCTGTCAACGGGGGTGCCCCTAGGCTAGATCAAAACGGTCATCGCCCTCTACTGGCAGTAGTGAAATGCCCGCTCCCATGCCAGGTGCTGAGTAACGCTCTGCAGCACAGGGACAGCTGCCACTTGGGGTGTATCCTTCAAATGTGAGGGCTCTATGAGACGCAGCAGAAGTGGCCTCGTCGGAGTCGCCGCTGCAGAATCTAGCCACATTGAGCTATCGGTGCTCATCTCCCGTTTGCAGCCCTGCAGAGCGGGTGGTGGAAATTCAACATTCCTATGGTGGAGCCCATAGGATGTGTGTGTGGTGATGTTTGGTGGCTGTGTGGTGGTGGTCGCGGTGGTGTTGAGTGGATTGGGTGTTGGTGATGAGTGGGCATTCGAGTGAATGGGTGGTTGGCCGGTGAGTGGTGGTGTTGGGTGGAAGTTGGTGATGAGTGTGCGGGTGGCGGTGGGCGGTGGTTGCCGTCCATGACGTCGCCATTGCGCGCACACCTGCAGCTCCTTGGAGTACCACTCGCTGCGCAGGTAGCTCCGCGTCACGACGCACAGCGTGCGCCGACTCGCGTAGATGCCGTCCATGATGTTGTCCACGATGTCCTTGCCCGGCACGAAGTCGCGGTGGTGCAGACAGAGGCGCATGCCGGTGCCCTCGAGCTGCGGTAGCAGCTGGCGCGTGACGCACTCTTCGTCGTCGCTGTTGTAGGACACGAACGCGTCGTAACGTATCGGGCCGGGCTGCCGCGCAGGCCTCCCGCGCTCCCCGAGCCAAGCGGCGAGCAGGTGGTACCCGTAGAGCAGGTGGTACCCGTAGAGCAGGTGCCAGCGCCAGAACCTGAAGACGGTGGCGGTGAGCATGACGAGGGCGACGGCGCACGAGCAGCAGGCAAAGAGCAGCGGCCCGGAGCGGTCGCGGCACAGCCCCGGCGCTTGCACGCGGCTCGAGTTTAGCAGGAAGTCGCTCAACCACGCGTTGTCACAGCCGCAGGAGAGGGGGTTGCCCACGACGTCGAGCAGCTGCAGGCGCGGCAGCGCCCCGAGCTCGGCGGCAGCGCCCCGAGCTCGGCGGCGGACACCTCGCCGACGCGGTTGTTGCTCACGCGTAGCACCCGCAGGAGGCTCAGGTTGAGCCGGGACAGGAAGGCGACGTCGTCCAGGCGGACGCGCGCAGGTGCAGCTCGTCGAGGAGCGGCACTGGCCGCAGCAGCGCCGGCTCCACGCCGCACAGCGGATTGGAGCCCAAGTCCAGGTAGCGCAGGTTGGGCGTTGGCAGGAACGTGCCGGCATCCAGCACCGACAGGTAGAGCTCCCCGGCGTGGAGCTCCTGCAGGGTGGCCAGGCCCTCCAGGAAGTTGGATGGGAAGTTGACCATGCCGTCCCTGCGCTGGCTGTTGAGGAAGAGGTGGGTGAGGCTGCGGAGGGGAGCGAACGGCGGGCTGCGGACGGCGCCCGCGGACGCGTAGTGCAGGTAGTTGTTGTTGAACTCCAGGTTGGTAAGGTTGACGAGGCCCTCGAACGCCCGCGGTCCCAGGGGCTGCAGGCCCAGCTTATTGCCGCCCAGGTCGAGGCGGCCCAGGGCGGCGAGGCCGTCGAACGCGCCATCCTCCACCTCCGCGATCTGGTTGTCGGCAACGTTGAGCAACAGGAGCGAGGTGAAGTTAGCGAAGTTTCCCGCCGGCAGCTTGGACAGATAATTGCTGCGCAGGTCGAGGGCCTCCAGGAGGCCCAGGTCCTCGGGGAAGATGCCGGCCACGCTCATGAGCCGATTGGCGGACATGAGCAGGCGCCGGAGGCGACGGGAACCGCGCAGGAAGCCCGAGGACACCTCGGTCATTTGGTTCTTGGAAAGGTTCAGGGTCCTCAGTTCCAGCAGCCACCGGAGGTCATCGGCGTGGAGCAAGGAGATCGAATTGAACCCTAGGTCCAAGGTGGCGACGCCGCTGCCGCCGCTCCTGACACTGACGTCGGCGTTCGCGAGGTCGCAGCTACCGGCGCCGCCGACGTCGCCAACGGCGTTGTCACTGTCGCCGCCGATGAGGACGCTGGTAGCGGTGGGGCCGGGAGCGGGCAGCGGGGGGGCGAACGCGGAGGCAGGGAACGTGGAGAGGCTGTTGGCGCCCAGGTAGACCTCGCGCAGCGCCGGTAGCCCACCCAGCGCTCCGCGCTCGACCTCCTCCATGCCATTGCTCTGGAGGTCCACTCGGCACAGCCTTGAGCAGCCCTGCGAGATGGTGACAGTCGGTCAGAGGCTTGGGATTATGATGGTGGTGGAGTTGATGGTGGTGGTGGAGATGATGGTGGGGGTGAGAGGGGTGGTGGAGGTGGTGATGGTGGTGGTGGTGGTGAGGGTGGTGGTGGTGGAGATGATGGTGGTGGTGGTGGTAGGGTGGTGGTGCAGATGATGATGGTGGGGGTGAGAGGGGTGGTTGAGATGATGATGGTGGTGAGGGTGGTGAAGGTGGTGGTGGAGATGGTGGTGGTGGTGGTGGGGGTGAGAATGGTGGTGGAGATGATGGTGGTGTTGGTGTTTGTGGTGGAGATGATGGTGGTTGCGGTGATGGTGGGGTTGAGGGAGGTGGTGGTGTTGGTGGTGGAGAGTATGGTGGGGGCGAGGGTGATGCTGGTGGTCACGATTTTTATTTTGATGATAGTTGATGGTTTTGGTGGTAGAGATGATGGTAGTGGGGAGCAGTGATACAGTGGTTAGCGCCCTGTGCTACGAACACGGCTACCTGAGTTCGATTACCGCTCACGGCCAACACCAGTGACAATTATCCTAACTGGTCGTGGGCGGCCAGGCGTGGTGCTGGCCACCCACCCCCTCCGTGTGCCGTGCCGGCCTTCACAGCTGCTACTCGCTAACAGCACTTGCCCATCCAGTCTGTTACAGGGATTATGATGGTGGTGGAGTTGATTGTGGTGGTGGAGATGATGGTGGGGGTGAGAGGGGTGGTGGAGGTGATGATGGTGGTGGTGGGGGTGGTGGTGAGGGTGGTGGTGGTGGAGATGATGGTGGTGGTAGTGAGGGTGGTGGTGCAGATGATGATGGTGGGGGTGAGAGGGGTGGTTGAGATGATGATGGTGGTGAGGGTGGTGAAGGTGGTGGTGGAGATGATGGTGGTGGTGGTGGTGGGGGTGAGAATGGTGGTGGAGATGATGGTGGTGTTGGTGTTTGTGGTGGAGATGATGGTGGTTGCGGTGATGGTGGGGTTGAGGGAGGTGGTGGTGTTGGTGGTGGAGATTATGGTGGGGGCGAGGGTGATGCTGGTGGTCACGATTTTTATTTTGATGATAGTTGATGGTTTTGGTGGTAGAGATGATGGTAGTGGGGAGCAGTGATACAGTGGTTAGCGCCCTGTGCTACGAACACGGCTACCTGAGTTCGATTACCGCTCACGGCCAACACCAGTGACAATTATCCTAACTGGTCGTGGGCGGCCAGGCGTGGTGCTGGCCACCCACCCCCTCGTGTGCCGTGCCTGCCTTCACAGCTGCTACTCGCTAACAGCACTTGCCCATCCAGTCTGTTACAGGCTCCACGAGGGAGGGTGGGGGATCATTGGCGGTAGTGGTGGTGGTAGTGGTGGTAGTGGAGGTGGAAGTGGAGGTGGTAGTGGAGGTGGTAGTGGTGGTAGTGGTGGTGGTAGTGGAGGTGGTAGTGGTGGTAGTGGAGTGTTGTATATATAGGCCTATTTCCAAAAATTAATATTAAAAATAATTCTGCCATTTTTTTAAATAATAATCGATCAAATAAATAAATAAACACCCTCAAACCCGCTACCTCCCACAAGCACCAAGCAGCTGGAGGTCGTAAAAGGCCATTAAATAATAAACTCCGGGGCAAAGGGAGGTTAGCGACTATCTGCAAAATCTCCAGATTGCCAACGGACAGTTCACAAACACATCCAGAATCACAGGCACAGACAGAGCACAGGGCAAACGGACATTATAACTGATATATATATATTTTTTTATGGAAAAAGTTGAAGCTTGGCTATAAGAATAAGTCGACATGATAGACTGCAGTCTATATTGGTGGCTTCATTATTACTTATATTATTTCACCCTTATTCAACTCATTGTTTCTTATTGTATATTTCTATCTATGTAACTTTACCAAAAGAACCACAGTACATGAGTTCCTGCAATCACGAAAACTTAAGTCCAAACTAAGCTAAATCTCTGACCTCGAAAATAAAAAGCAACGATCCCCGGATACAGACGGGGGGACGAAATTAATAAACCCTAAAAAAATACGTGGTGATGACAATGTTAAATCACAAATCTTAGGAAACATAAACCAAATAATATTTGTGCAGTATTAAACCGTGGGTTGTCCAGAAGAGATGAGGCGAAATAGGTCAAACTTACACAAGCGAGATAAACTGTGTTCCATAGGAAAAGAGCCTCCCAACCGTCTTTGTCTTCCCGCAGCACGGGATAGCAAGGAATGTAACACCTAGAGCGAGGGAAACAACGGTAATCACAGGGAGAGACACAGATGGCTTAATAAATCACACACACACACGGACACACGTACAGAGCCCCCCCCCCCCCTCCCCCCGACAACAGCGAGATCAAAGGAAGTTCCGGTCCTTTGTGAGGAGGCGAGCCAGAGGAAGAAATTTTGGCATAAAAAGAGAGACACTGGCCATACATAGTATCACGGCTACCAGCGGCAGAAGACGGTGACCAACTATCGAAGATGCTCAACCCCCAAAGATAACAGCCAGCCACCGACGCAGGAGATCACCACCGACGCAGAAGAAGACTCCGCAACTCATCCAGGATGACGAGGCTCGCTGGGTAGCGACACGCTACGCCGTGCGAATTCAGCGCCGTCAGAAGAAGTATCGCTCGGAAATCATTCCGCTCTGGGCATCGACTCACAAGAGCCACTGCAGTTCGAGCTAAGCTGACGAGAATTCCAGCATCATCCGTTAGAGAGGGCGGAAAGCGCCAAACGTCGACCAAGCCTGCCATCAACGAACGAAAGCATCGTTTTCTTTGGTTCTTTCGGTAAAGTCACGTAGAATGAGAATAAAATAATAAATTGATAAAATAAAATAACACAATAATATTCTCACGACGTTTCGGCCAAAACACAAGCGGCCTTCATCAGTCTCGTCCCTTCACCTGATGAAGGCCGCTTGTGTTGTGGCCGAAACGTCGTGAGAATATTATTGTGTTATTTTATTTTATCAATTTATTATTTTATTCTCATTCTACGTGACTTTACCGAAAGAACCAAAGAAGATGAATCATTGCAGTCACGAAAGCTTTAAATCGAAAGAAAGCATCGTTCATTGCCAGAGAGCCGGAGCAGGACAGAGCACGCCGCAGAGCCACCAGCGCCACCAAGCAAGGGTGTCGGCAGCCAGCGGACAAGCGTTGTGCCGACTCGGCTCATCCAGCAGGGAAAAGAGCTTGACCAGCCGCCCGTGAGCAAGAGTGTCAGCGCCAGCGAGCGCGCCGTGGGTTCGACCCACACGCACACCGACCAGCACCAGCTGGGAACCAAGACAAGAGTGAGGAACTGCTGCCAGCGCACGAGCGACCGAGCATCTCCAGGACGGGCATCGTGCCGACGCAGCTCATCATCCAGCGGCGGAGAGAACCGGCAGCCAACGTCAGACGCCGAGCGATAGAGGGATCCAGCCGTCGTTCGTATACCCTCCACCACTCACAAACCCACGACGCTCCTGGCGTCTGCTCACACAATAATTTACCAAAGAGACAATCCAACGTACCCACACATTAAGAACAATTATAAAGTGCATGAACCATCAGCTGGCCGTGAAGGCATCGCGGCTCATCGAGTGACAAGAATACGTCGTTTATAAGTACATTAATTTTTTTCTCTTATTTTGTTTTACGTGATTTTACTTCCAATTGCATAAATTACCAATAGATTCATCGATACAAACTAAACTTTTGAAACCTTCGTCACGAATCTACACGCCCACAGAGATAATATTTTGTTAAACCGGTTTCTTTATCATACAATCTTGTCCACGAATTAATTAAAACTTAGCCAAAGATAAGAATCTCCCGTAGGAGGGCACGCACCCCGTCTCACACCCTTATTCCAAGACATTTAGTTAATTATATAATCTTGCCGATCAATCTATTGACGTATACTTTTGCCTTTGGGGTATAATAATTTGCTTTTATCGCCTTCCGTATGAATGTCGTGGCATTATTTTTTAAGGACTTTTATTCCTATTTGCCGTATATGCTCGTACTACTCTGATGAAGTAATAAATTGTTCTGTTACCCAGTTAACAAACGTGATCATTGAGGGTTAAATGTATAGATCAATAAGGGGAACATCTTCTGGAGTACTGTGTTGACAATTTCTAGCATGAGAATTCGCATATTAGAGTGTTAAGGTTTTGTTTAGAAATAAAAATTGCTTAACACAGAAGTGTTTGAGTGTTTCTTTCCTGAGTTCATGTATCCTGCGGTGAGATTTGAATTTGGAGACCTGACATACAACACACTAATACATAATAAGTAAATGTTAAAGCGAGAATAATTGTATTATACCGATTGATAATACGAACCTAGACAACAAAGCCGAGCCTAATTTGGCGTACTTACAGCACACTTGCATAACTTCATACAATTAATTGTATGATCCCGATTTATAATACTACCCTCGTCAGCGAGGCAGGGCCTAATTATCATAACGGCTCGCATTAGCATAATCAAAAACATTCGCATAAATTAATACGATTATCTCTCGAATTAGCATAAGTATGCGCATAATGACATCAATTAACATAACTTCACATAATTACGCATTTTTCCCAATTTCATTTAATTTTTATTCTTTTAATAAAATTTTCAAGACCCGGCATATACAACAGGAGGTGGTAGTGGAGGTGGTAGTGGTGGTGGTAGTGGTGGTAAAACAACCCCCTACCTCCTCGCGTTACCGGACGGGCAACTCTGTCGTGGACAGTGCTGTGGGGGGATGTCCAATTTTGATTGGCTCCTCCCCTCATGGCATATGTGTCCACCACAGGGGCTAAACGGGGGCTCTGGACGGGTGCGAGGGGCTGGTAACCCCTCCACCTTCAATTAATTACCACTAAACCACGAGTTAAACTGAAATATGTAACTAATAAGCTTGTGCCGGAGGCCCCGGGGGGCCAGGCGTCTATGACGTCTCCTGGCCAAACCCCAATTGGCGGAGCCAGGAGATTGAATATCTACCCTCGGGGCTCCTCCAGAAACAATGAAAAGCCACTACGGGTGGCCACGTGGAATGTTGGAACGCTCACTGCGGAGGAGAGGATGCCACTCCTCTGTCGGGAGCTGGACCGGTACCGCCTGGATCTGTGTGGCATTCAGGAGGTCCGGTGGACCGGCTCTGGCTCCTGCCACCATGAGGGGTGGACAGTCCTCTACTCGGGGCAGCAGACTGCCAAACAACAGGGTGTGGCTCTTCTTTTGAACAAAAGAATGAAGGGGGCGTGGGAGCGTGGCGGTGAGGTGTGGGAAGCTGTAAGTCCCAGGCTACTTTGGGCTCGCCTTCCCATCAACCGGAGGCGAGGAATGGTGGTCGTGGTTACTTATGCCCCCACCGAAGATGAACATCTGTGGAAGGATGCAGGCAAAGCCGATGAGTCAGATGCCTTCTATGACCTCCTGTCACAGGTGCTGGCTAAAGTGGCCCCTCGGGATAGAGTCATCATGTTGGGTGACTTCAATGCCCGAGTTGGTCATGATACTGGCACCTGGTCTGGAGTGATTGGAGGGCATGGGCCAGATCAGCTCAATAACAACGGTAGGAGGCTGCTAGAATTTTGTGCAGCCCATGGGCTTGTAATTACCAACACGCTGTTCCGGCATCGGCGCGTCCACACAACATCATGGATGCATGCCGGGTCCAAGCAAGAACATCTGTTGGACTACATAGTGACGGACCAGCGGATGCGAGCCCATGTCCTTGACACCAGGACCTACCGTGGAGCTGATCTGCCCTCTGACCATCGACAAGTCATCTGTAAGATGCGCCTGCCATTTTTCCACTCCGGTGGTGGGTGTACACCCAGGACCCCAGTCCAACCTAAAGTGGCCTGGTCTCAGTTATCTGATGAAAGTTGCAAGCGAGAATTTCATCATCGCTTGCGGCTGGGATTGGCATCGTCCCCGACTCCTCCTGATGTCGAGGGTAAATGGGCGAGGTTTAGGACTGTGACACATGCAGCTGCAATGGCTGCTTTGGGTACACGGTCCAGACCTCCCCACACTGACCAGGTATGGGAAACTCTCTACTCTCTCCACAACTGCCCCATCACCGATTGGGAGTTGTGGGGGTGGAGTGTCCGATGGTACAAAATATCCAGGCAGGTGCTTAGTTTTGGTGGGGCTGATGGTAAGGCCTCATCTCTTAGTGGCACGCTCCAGTCTCAGCAGCAGCGTCTCCAACTCCTCCTCTGAATGAGCAGCTATTACCAAATCATCAGCATACATAACGTGGTTGAGTAATAGTGAGCCATCCCTTGACCGCACCCGGGCATCGATCAGCCTCCCATTATATCTTTACCAAATGGAGTTTCCCCCGGTACAGTTATTGAAGGCTTCACGAACTACGTGGTCAAAATAGATGTCTCAGCAGCAGCGTCTCCAACATACACACACACACTCTTGTACACACACACTCTTGTACACACACACTCTTGTACACACACACACACTCTTGTACACACACACTCATGTACACACACACTCTTGTACACACACACACTCATGCACACACAGTCATATTCACACACACTCTTGTATACACACACACACTCATGTACACACACACTCTTGTACACACACACTCTTGTACACACATACACACTATTGTACACACACCCACACTCTTGTAAAGTCACCCTCGCAAACACACCCCTGTACACACACTCACCCCTGTACACTCACCCCTGCACACTCACCCCTGTACACACACTCACCCCTGTACACACACTGTACACACACTCACCCCTGTACACACACTGTACACACACTCACCCCTGTACACTCACTGTACACACACTCACCCCTGTACACTCACTGTACACACTCACCCCTGTACACTCACTGTACACACACTGTACACACACTCACCCCTGTACACTCACTGTACACACAATGTACACACACTCACCCCTGTACACTCACTGTACACACACTGTACACTCGCCGCCGCTTCGAGCTGGGTCCTCAGTTCCGTATCCAAACCCTCACCTGACCCCTCCCCTCACCCCTCCCCTCACTCCGCTCGCTCCTCCCCTCACCCCTCCCCTCACCCCGCTCACCCCTCCCCTCACCCACTCACTCACCCACTCACCCCCTCACCCTCTCACTCACCCCCTCACAGTCACCCTCTCTCACTCACCCCTCACACTCAACCCTCACACTGACCCCCTCACACTCACCCCCTCACCCTCTCACACTCACCCCTCACATTCACCCCTCTCACTCACCCCCTCACACTCACTCTCTCACTCATCCCCTCTCACTCACCCCCTCACACTCACTCTCTCACTCATCCCCTCACACTCACCCCCTCACACTCACCCTCTCACCCTCTCACACTCACCATCTCACTCACCCCTCACACTCACCCCCTCTCACTCACCTCCTCACACTCACCCTCTCACACTCACCATCTCACTCTCCCCCTCACACTCACCCCTCACCCTCTCACTCACCCCCTCATATTCACCCCCTCACACTCACCCCTCTCACTCACCCCTCACACTCACCCCCTCACACTCACCCTTTCACTCACCCCCTCACACTCACCCCCTCACTCACCCCTCACACTCACCCCCTCACACTCCCCCTCTCACTCACCCCCTCACATTCACCCCCTCACACTCACCCCTCACACTCACCCCCTCACATTCACCCCCTCACACTCAGCCCCTCACACTCACCCTCTCACTCACCCCCTCACACTCACCCCCTCACACTCACCCCCTCACACTCACCCTCACACTCACCTCCTTTCACTCACCCCCTCTCACTCACCCTCTTACTCACCCCTCTCACTCACCCCCTCACACTCACCCCCTCACTCACCCCTCACACTCACCCCCTCATATTCACCCCCTCTCACTCACCCCCCCTCACTCACCCTCTTACTCACCCCCTCACATTCACCCCCTCACACTCACCCCCTCACACTCACCCTCTTACTCACCCCTCTCACTCACCCCCTCTCACTCACCCCTCTCACTCACCCCCTCACACTCACCCCCTCACTCACCCCTTACGCTCACCCTCTTATTCACCTCTCACACTCACCCCTCTCACTCACCCCTCACACTCACCCCCTCTCACTCACCCCCTCACACTCACCCTCTCACACTCACCATCTCACTCACCCCCTCACATTCACCCCCTCACACTCACCCGCCCTCACTCACCCTCTTACTCACCCCCTCACACTCACCCTCTCACTCACCCCCTCTCACTCACCCTCTTACTCACCCCTCTCACTCACCCCCTCACACTCACCCCCTCACTCACCCCTCACACTCACCCCCTCATATTCACCCCCTCTCACTCACCCCCCCTTCACTCACCCTCTTACTCACCCCCTCACATTCACCCCCTCACACTCACCCCCTCACACTCACCCTCTTACTCACCCCTCTCACTCACCCCCTCTCACTCACCCCTCTCACTCACCCCCTCACACTCACCCCCTCACTCACCCCTTACGCTCACCCTCTTACTCACCTCTCACACTCACCCCTCTCACTCACCCCCTCTCACTCACCCTCTTACTCACCCCTCTCACTCACCCCCTCACACTCACCCCCTCACTCACCCCTCACACTCACCCCCTCATATTCACCCCCTCTCACTCACCCCCCTTCACTCACCCTCTTACTCACCCCCTCACATTCACCCCCTCACACTCACCCCCTCACACTCACCCTCTTACTCACCCCTCTCACTCACCCCCTCTCACTCACCCCTCTCACTCACCCCCTCACACTCACCCCCTCACACTCACCCTCTCACTCACCCCCTCTCACTCACCCCTCTCACTCACCCCCTCGTTCACCCTCTCACTCACCCCCTCTCACTCACCCCTCACATTCACCCCTCACACTCACCCCCTCTCACTCACCCTCTCACTCACCCCCTCACACTCACCCCCTCACACTCACCCTCTCACTCACCCCTCACACTCACCCCCTTTCACTCACCCTCTCACTCACCCTCTTACTCACCCCTCACACTCACCCCTCTTACTCACCCCCTCACTCACCCCTCACACTCACCCCTCACACTCACCCTCTCACTCACCCCTCACACTCACCCTCTTTCACTCACCTTCTCACTCACCCTCTTACTCACCCCTCTCACTCACCCCCTCTCACTCAACCCTCACACTCACCCCTCACACTCACCCCCTCTCACTCACCCCTCACACTCACCCCCTCACCCCCTCACACTCACCCCCTCTCACTCACCCCCTTGCTCACCCCCCTCACACTCACCCCCTCACTCCTCTCACCCTCCCTCGCTCACCCCCTCCCTCACCCACCTCGCTCACTCTCTCACACTCACCCCCCTTGCTCACCCCCTCCCTCACCCCCCTTGCTCACCCCCTTACACTCACTCTCTCACCTCACTCTCACCCTCCTCACTCACCACCTCACCTCACTCTCACCCGCTCCCTCCCACTCCCACCCCCTCGTGTGCCAAGGAGCCGTCCATAAATGACGTCACGCAATTTTGAACGATTTTTGACCCCCCCCCCTCGTCACACGGCGTCACAAAAATTCAGCTCCCCCTCAAATATGACGTCACAAAGCTCTGCCCCCCCCCCCTCAAAAAAATATAAAACATGCTTCAAATCGCTTTAAACTATTGTCATTGTAGTGCGTATTTAATGTGCCGCTGCACTCTGATGTTGTAGGAGAAAACATTAAAAAGTATATTTAATTATACCCTTTGGTTCTATTCGGTAAAGTCACGTAGGTAAAAAATAAAACAACAAAAATCACGACGTTTCGGCCACAACACAAGCGGCCTTCATCAGGTGAAGGGACCAGACTGTCTCGAGGACAGCGCTGGAGTGAAACACAGCCAAGCTCAGACCGCGACCTTTAAGCTGTGTGAGAGTAATTAAGGTGCCTTGACACCTTAATTACGTCGTGATTTTTATTTTATTTTTTACCTACGTGACTTTACCGCATAGAACCAAAGAGTATGGATCCTTGCAGTCACGAAAGCTTCAAATCTATATTTAATTAAGTAGAACGTATTCTTAGCTATTTCGGTAAAGTCACGTTGAAGGGAAACAATAAAATAATAATATATATATGAAACAATAAAAATCCTCACGATGTTTCGACCATAACACAAACGGTCGTCATCAGGTGTGTCGGTTTGCATACATTTATTTATTTATTTGGATGTCCTAATTAAAAAGAGACCTGATGGTTCAATGAGCCACTCTGTCTACAGGAAAGCTACCCATACGGATGCTTATCTGAAACCGGATTCCCACCAACATCCATCACAGAAGAATTTTCTCATCAAGACTCTGTATCACAGAGCCCAATGCATATCCGACCAGGAACACATAGGCAGTGAACTCAAGCAAGTACACCAAGCTCTTAAGGCTAATGGATACTCCGACTATATAATCCGCAAAGCTATCACTCAAACCATGAAGAAGGACCCTCTTGAGGAGCCTTTCAAAACCATCACTTTACCATACATTGCGGGGATCACAAAAAAGACCTCCAAAATCATAAATAAACACAAGATCCAGGTCCGTTTCAACACATTACATAAAATCCGTGATCTGGTTCCATTTGTAAAAGATGTGATTCTGGACATACAGTACCCTGGTGTCTACAAACTAAGTTGCCTCTGTGGTAGTAGTTACATTGGAGAAACCAAACGCCATGTCTCGGACCGCATTCGTGAACACAAAGCAGACCTTAAACACGGTAGGACCAACACCTCGGCCGTGGCAGATCATTGTTATAATTCAGTAGGCTCACATGACATTGACTGTTCCAAGACAGAGGTTCTTTGTAAGCCATCTGGCTACCATGAGAGATTCGTTCATGAGGCTATCCACATATACAAGCACAGAGACAATTTCAACCGAGAAGATGGATTCTGGCTTAGCAATCATTGGAAAGATTTGATAAACCATTTCAGGTGTTAATTGATTGTTCACGCTTACAGTGGCTTTCAGACAGCATACATTAATTTTTTGTCTCACCCCTCCTCTTTTCAGAACATAGATGGACTAGTCCTTCTAAATAAACTGCCAAATCGCTGCGCGTGGCGCCGACGGTTTTTTAAATAAATAAATAAATACACCGTTTAAAAACAAATACATTTACGCAAACCGACACACCTGATGACGACCGTTTGTGTTATGGTCGAAACGTCGTGAGAATTTTTATTGTTTTATATATATTTAATTATTTTATTGTTTCCCTTCAACGTGACTTTACCGAAAGAGCTAAGAATATGAATCACTGCAGTCACGAAAGCTTTAAATCAAAATTTAAGTAGAACGTGTTATCTATATTTATTTAAAGTTGCACAATTTGATGTGACGTCACATTTATCAAACCACGCCCCCCCCTCGTCACAAATCGTCACAAATGTCTGACACCACCCCCCCCAGGTGCGTGACGTCATTTATGGACGGCCCCAAATGCGTTGTACAGCAATCATAACATCGTACATGAGATGATAGCGGTTGAATTAAAAAGAGTGGGGATATGTATTTAAACGTGGTGGTGTAGTTACGGTGATGGGAGAACAAGCGGGAGTGGTTAAGCAGGGATTGGGGAAGTGATAGAGGTTGGGGTTTAGGCCTGGTTGTGGCTGGCGGAGGCAATAGCAGTTGAGGTAGCGATGGGGATGGAGGTTGAGGTGATGGTGATGATAGGGGTCGGGGTAATGATAGGGGTTGGGCTAGTCCTGGTTATGGCTGGGGCAGGGGGAGTGATAGGGGTTGAGGTGATGGTGATCGGGGTTGGGGTGGTCATTGGGGGTTTGGGTAGACCTGGTCTTGACCGAGATAGGGAGGAGTCGGAGTAGTTAAAGGGATAGGCGTTGAGGTGTGATAGGTGTTGGGGTAATGATACGTGTTGCGGTAGGCCTTGTCGTGGCTGGGAGGCTGGGGCAGGGAGTATCAGTAACTGGTTTGGCTAGGGTAGAAAAGATGGGGGTTGTCTTGAGAGGGCAA